AAACCAATCAGAACCCAACATTATGTGGGTATTTACGCATTTATTTTTACAGTAATTTATAATTTACCAGATCAGCTTTAACATTAAACCCGTGGTGAACCCGTTAAAACGACCAAGAAACGCTCGGTAGAATCTGAGATGATAATTCATCATGGGGAAAGCTGAAGAAAAAATGATGGTATGAAAGTCAAGGCAAAAGAAAACTACTCTTTGTAGCTGAAAAGTGCATCGATTGGATGAGGAAAACGCGATTTTTTTGGTCAGAATATCAGTCTGCCTTTGCAATAGTAAACTACTAAATATGGAAAATCGAAGGTCTCGAGGATAGTTTTGGTGTTGCGAAAAGGTTGTTTTCAGATCAAACGAAGACTCGCTCACGTCTAATATTTTTTCCCTCTTCCTTGTAGATTTTATTGTCATCCGTCCAGTAAAGAGACGGGAACTTAATTTTTTAAAAAAAAGATAATAACTATAATGATTGAGCTCTTTCAATTTAATCGCGCGCGAAATTTAAAATTCATGGTGTGATTTCTTAGTTCAATCGCGTGTTTTCAATATTATCAGTTATCTCGGTGGTATAAGAATTTTTCTCCGGCAGGTACTGCAACAGTTGGAAACTGGAAGCGAAGAATTGTTCTTTCTTCCGCTTATCGTGTACGTGTTGTTTTTCAAAACACGAATTCATTTGTAGCATGCTCCGTCATCCACCCGAAAATTCAAAGATTTGGCTTGGACCCGAAAATTCAAAGATTTGGCATGGACTGGCGGATCAAACAATTGGATGATGTGTACTATGTACAGTCATATAATAGATCTATACAGTTACCCTTGCAAACGATTTGAGACATTTTGTGAAAAGTTAAAAGTGTGCTTCAGGTTTGAATTTTTTTTTGTCTTCATTTTACCTCGCCAAAGCAAATGATTGACAGAAGAAAGGGACTTGTTCCTCTCCACTTTGTTTTCTTAGCCGCCTTTATTAAGGTATATCAGGATTCAATACAAAACTGTAACAAAGCTGAATAGCTTTGTTATAGTGTCTTAGAACTTTATACGCTTCTCTCCCTCTCCAATTCCATTTACCAACCAGTATCTTATTCAAAGGATCTTTAAAGGATGTCATGGATGAGCAAAAACCGAAGATGTCAAAATAACTTTTGATTGCAGATGTCTTGATAGATCAACGTTCCTACTGGTGAATAGCTTGTCGCATCATTCTCCCAGATATGTGTTTATCTTGAATTAGTTTTCTCTGTGTAAATTATTTATGGGATGAGTGTTACCCTTTATTTCAAGTTCAATGGGGAAAAATTCAAAACTCAACATAAATAACGACAAAGCACTTCACCTCGCAAGCAACAGAGTTAAGAACAAAGATTTTCAATTTCTTATCAAATTGTACATAAATTATTTAAGAAGACTTCCCACAGTAACTAATCAAGAACAAAAGATGAAAAATAGATGAAAACATGTGGTCAGTTTCAAATTTAACTGCGATATGTATACAGAAGATAAAATGAGTTTTTCCTTTCCTTGCAGAGTAAAATAATTAATCATATCGTTTGGGTATGAAGACCATTAAAACAAAGCCCATTCAGTTTAATTTATTAACGGAGTGACAAAGGATGAAAACTTAAATGAAAGTTTTTCTTACGTAAGCTTGCATGCAAACCTAACTTCGCGTTGGTCTCCTGGTGGTCTCCACCATCCTTCTCGGTGAGAAGTTGAACATGATTGGTCGTATAAAACAATATCCTAACTTAACTCCTTAACTGTGCATTAAGCATCAACAATTTTCTATCCTTCTCATGTTTAAAAACTAAAAAAATGATGAATAAACTAACAAAACATTTATTTAACTACCTGCGAACAGATAAAATATTCGTATCTTTTTGTGAGTTATTGAAAGAAAGAGTGGTTTTCGAAATGGTGGAATAGGAATTGGCAGTGGTTCATAAAATCTCAAGATTTGAAACTTTGAAAAACTTTTAATACATCTAATTAACTATACGAATTCAAAAGTTTGTTCTGTTTAATAGATACAGCTTTTTTCTAACGTTTGTGTCGAAACAATGCATCACGACCCCCTATAATTTGGATGAAATATAAAACCTCATTAAAATGCTCTTCGAATCAATTTAAAGAGAGGGCTTGCCTTTCAGTGTTAAAAGGAGATTTCTTACCAATTTATGGTGGGTGACGTTTCTCATTTTTATACAATTTTTTAAAGCGCTAAAACAGATTCTATAGTGACTGCGAACATATTTCTCTGTCTTTGAAACTTCAAAGCGGTCTTCAGCTAATTTGTTTTCATATTCAGCACGGTATATTTAGGCGCAATTTCGCTAATGCCTTAATTCTCGTCCAAGTTTCTTTTTGAAATTCAGTAGATTAGTGACTTTTGTGGTAACGATCATCACCACAGATATCAATAAACGTTCATAGTCCTTCAAATAGTGTACCCAAACCTTACCAGTGCGCGCTGGAAAGTTCGTGGCCGGTGAACTGATCTTCGGTAAATTTAATATACGTGATACCAAATAGTTTTTTCGTTTCAGGTGACACCATCCCTTGTGGATAGAAAATAAGCGTAAATCATTTTGTCGGCAGTTGTTTTATTATTACTATGGGCATTGTACGTTATCTACAAGTGGTCTTGTTTGTCCTAAACCTGACTCTTTCTGTTATGGCACAGGATTACGTAACCTGTCAAAACTTCAGGTTAGGTGTCGATGAAGATGTCGTCTATAACTACATTCTCGAGGGTCATTTGTTTCGAAGATTGACAGTCCATAACGCCGCACACTGTCACCTGATGTGCTAAGACGACTGCCTGTGTGTATCCATGAATTATTTCCCTCAATTCAAAGAAAGTAAATGTGAGCTTAACGATGCTAACAAAGGCATGGAGCCAGCAGCGATGAAATGGAATCAAGGAGGAGACTATTATGATTTAGTGAATAAAGGCTGATAGTTTCGAAAGAAACTGTTTGGGGCTGCGTCGGTGGGAGTAACGAAGTAATTTGGATATATCAACAAAGTTGAAATGGCAAATTGGCCACCGTAATGATTACAAAAGCTGACGTTTCGAGCGTTAGCCCTTCGTCGGAGCAAATAGAGGATTTGTGGGTTGTGTGTGCTTTTAAAGGCAGAAAATGGAGCTACGTTATTGGTGGGAGCATGGCAACGAGANTCTCGTTGCCATGCTCCCACCAATAACGTAGCTCCATTTTCTGCCTTTAAAAGCACACACAACCCACAAATCCTCTATTTGCTCCGACGAAGGGCTAACGCTCGAAACGTCAGCTTTTGTAATCATTACGGTGGCCAATTTACCATTTCAACTTTGTTGATATATCCAAATTATTATGATTTAGTGAGGAGCTACATGGTGAAAAGAAAATTTCAAATCAGGGCCTTCTTTTTTGGTGCTGGTTTCTGTCTCCTAACCTCTCTCCTTCCTTCCTGCTTTCCTGTTTTTATCAATTTAATTCTTCGATTAACCGTCCCTCCTTTATTACAATTCTTCCTTCCATATTCAATTCCTATCCGTCTACATTCTCCCTCCCATTTTCCCTCTTTGCTCCCTCCCTTTCTTTGACCGCTATTCACTGCTTCCTCCCTCCATAAACGAGCACTTCCTTTATTTTTTCATTTATTCCCTATCTAAATCCTCCTATCTTCTTCACTCATTAACCTCCTCTCTCTCTCTCCTGATTCAATCCTTCTTCCCCCTTCCATGTTGATCAACTCTCTCCTCCCTAGACACGCTCTTTTTTTCGCCTTTTTCTTGTTTGTTTCCTCTTCCCTCCCTTCCTTATTTACTTTCATCACATTCTTTCCTTGCAGACTCTTCCCTTCCTTTGTTGCTCTTTATCACTATTATTATGTAATTGTTCTCTTCCCATTCCCTCACTACCTTTCTCCTTCCTTTCTCCCTTCTCTTCTACCTTCCAACCATCTTCTTTCTCCTCTCCCTTCCTTCCCTCCTAACATCTCTATCTGAAAACATCGTAAGCTGCTAGCTCAAACGTACATGCAAGTATATATGTAACAGACCAAAGGGAATTGAATGCGTCTTTTAGACTGTGTCTTAGAAAAAATGATTTGAATCACAACTAAGGAATATGCGAATGTGCACGAAGTACTGATATAAATTGTATCGCTTTGTTATAGGATGGAGATAAATATATTCCAGCATAGTTAGTGGAGAGGACTGGTTAGGAAACGCGGCAAACTTCAAAGGGCCGGCCTATTGTCTGTCCCCTGAGCTTCGCTTGAACGTCACGTGATCAATGACCCTGCACAGAACCAAAACAAACATGGAGGACATGAACAACTTATTTTTCTTCGGCGACGATTTTGATGCCATATTGGAAACTTTGGAGAACGAGGAAGAATACAAGAGCACTTTGTCGAAGCAGCTGACTCTGTAAGTCTTTTAGAAGCCTTTAGAACGTTATTTTCGCCCAAAAACTTTGTAGTTATTGATGCCCTTAGCAACGGCATCGGTCGTAGTACAACAACATATTTTTTTACTGAAAGTCTTTCGATTTTTAGGTTCAAGACGAAGAGAGAATTGTTTGCTAGTTGTGTCAAAATAAATGCAAGACTAAGGCTGGATTAAAAAGACATAAGACAATAAAGCATAAGGAGGAACAAGCGCGGGGAAATCAACCGACTCAAGAAGCCAAATTCACTGCTGAAGACTTCGAAG